TAAAAAAATTATATTATTTAACCGGAAATAAATTACTTCATTATTAAATTATAATAAAACTCGAATTAAAGAAATTATACAAAAATAGGGAAACTTTTAAATAGTTAATTTGATTATAATGGAAACTTTTAAATACTTAATTTGATTATAATATCAATAATTTTTCAAGTTTTCATGGGATCTTCAAATTTATATTTTATTTAAAAATAAAAACATTATCATTTTCTCAAAACCATTTAAAACCATGTTATAATACTGACAAAGACAAATAATAAAAAGAAACCCTATACTTTTGATATACTTCCTCTTCCAAAATACAATAGTGCTTCCTTTCGCTCCTTTTGATTTAGCGAGGAGGAAGTAGTTGTTGACAAGTATCGACTATTTCATTTAGCTCATGTTGTTACGTATCGGTTGTTTTGGATATATAATCAAATTATCTGCTCCTGTTTAAAGATCACAGCCTCACAAATGCATCTCCCCACAAGACAAGGGAGGAGGAGGAGAGATGAGGGAGCGGGTTAAGCTTAATCGAGAAAAGGGGCAAATATGGAAAGCAAGGATTTGACTCAATAAGCATGGATTTGACGCTGAGTGGGTAAGATCTTGGTCAGCATTTTGATCATATCTCGGTCAAATCCGTGATTTGTTAAACACGCTGACTGCTGACCAAGTCAGCCTGGTCAGCAGTTAGTAAACAGCCCCTTAATATATAGTTTCATAAATCTCTATTTGATTATCAACTAAAAATTTGAAATTTGTTTTAAATAATCAAATAGCATCATTTTCTTTACTTCTTAGGGGCCGTTTACCTAAACACTTACCCGGTAAGCACTTACCGGTAAAATTCAATAATATCGCTTACTTATCGGACAAGATTTTATTCACTAAAACGCATCGTATGCAACAATTTATCCTGGTAAGCGCTAACCATGGTAAGAGTCCTCGTCTTCACTTACTGGGTAAGACTCGAGATTCTTGCCCTCGCTCTTACCGGGTAAAATTCTTAATCATTGCCATATTCATCCGGTAAAGTAAAGTGAATTGGTAAGCGCTTACCCAGGTAAGCGTTTGGTAAACGGCACCTTAGTCTTTTTTTAACAGCGGAGATGATCAGATTTCTCAAGTGTCGTAACTTAAAAGGTATATTTTTTCTGAATTAAATATAATTGTGGGGTCAACTTGCAAAATGGTATGACAGCTTACGAGATGCGCGAGACAACTTGCAAAATAACCTTTTAGATTGCGAAATGCTCCTAGTTGCTTACGAAATGGTTCATAAGAATCATACTTTATTCACAAGAGGTATATTTCTAAAGTTACAGATTCTTGACTATTTTAAAAAAAAAAAGTAGGCTAAAAAAGAGGATATATTCATCCAAAATAGCTAATTTGATTAATTTTACTGAATTTTATAAGGATGTTCATCTAAACTGTCAAATCGCACAAACCACCCACACCGTATCATATCGCACCGCAAAGCGTGGCTTAGAACTTTGGCGGTGTGGCTTACAGTATGCATTTTTTTCGAAACGCATTATGCGGTGTGGTCTGCGGTTTTGAGTTATCAAACTGCGATTCAAATCACACCGCGCCATCTCTCTTTCGTACTTCTTAGACTATTTCTAATTTATGTAATATGTATTTACAAAATCGGACCTGCTAAAACTTCATATTTTTTGGACTACAATCACGTTATAGGTGTTTCTAGAATATTGGATTGTAGACGTAAAATACGATAGATACAAACCGTATAAATTGCATCGCATCGCAAAATTTTATGATTTGAAGCATATGCGGTGTAGTTTAAAAAAATGCTTAAACCGGATTTACAGTTTTGCTCCAAACCGCATCACGAACACCTCTAGAATGTTATGATTTCAAAAAAATGGAAATAAAGTGCATTATTGACTTGTACCATACAAAAGTACTTGTTGCTTGAGGAAAAGCCTAGTGCATTAAGTACAGATACTAGGTATGACGGTGTTGCATGCATCGTTATTGTAAAATTTAAATTTATAAATTCCACTAAACTTAATTTAATTAATGGATTATGTGTGGTTTATCGAACACTTACTCGGATAAGCGCTTATCAACTCACATTACTTTATCAGATGGATATGACAAAGACCAAGAACCTTACCCGGTAAGAGCGAAAGCAAGTCGAGTCTTACCCGGTATGTAAGGGCGAAGACTCTTACCACAGTAAACGCTTATCCGGTAAATTGTTGCATACGGAACCGTTTTGGTAGACTAAAAGCTTAACCCGTTAAGTAAGTGATAGTAATGAATTTGCCGGTGAGCACTAATCCGGCTAAGCATTTGGTAAACGACCTCTTAACCTAGTGTCACTCTTTTTAAGGCTTCGTAGGATCATTTATCAAATATTTACGGGTATAAATTATCCTTACTTACCTTATCATGTAATATTCTTAGGTATTAAAATCGATTGTTGCTCATCATTTTAACCCAACAAGTGCTAATCAAGTAAGAGTCTTTTTTTTCTCATTTGGAGCATCTTCAAAAGCTATGCTAAAATAGAGAAAAGTGAAATTTTAGCAACTTTTTTGCTCCAACAACTGTGTTATCGTGTATGCTAAAATAGAAAAAAGAAGATAAGAGAGATGGTAGAAATTTTTTAAATTTAAAGAAATCTTTAAAACTATATATGTAAGAGAGAGAAATAATATTTTATTTTTTTCACCAATAAGAGTCATTGAAATTATGTGTTTAGAAGAGAGAAACAAATTTTATTAATGTATTAAATATTTTAATGATATAGTTAATGATAGAATTGCTAAAATAGAGTAGTCGCTGGAGTTAGATGTAATTCTTTTAGAGATTTTAACTTTTCATACTCTGTTTTAAAAAAAAAACATAGCATAACCGTTGGAGATACTCTTGCCGGTTAACAGTGGCGGACGCAGAAAAAAATATTGTAGGGGGCACGATATCATCATCTTTTTCTTATCGGCCGGATCCCAAGGAAGATCGTTCAATTCAATTTCGCAAGACATCGAAGGAGCAGAGCTCGATTCAGGTGTTGATGTTTTCCTTTTAAAAAATCTTTTCATTTGATTTGCCTAATTGCCTACAAAATTACCCACAAAATTTCCCACAAAATTAACCTAAAATACCTAACCTATAGCATTTACCAATTACCAATTCCAATTACCACAAAATTAACCAACAAAATTTACCTAAAGCATTTACCAATTACCACAAAATTAACCAACAAAATTTACCAACAAAATTTACCTAAAGCATTTACCAATTACCACAAAATTAACCAACAAAAATTACAAAATTAACCTAAAATAAATACCTAACCTAAAGCATTTACCAATTACCAATTACCACAAAATTAACCTAAATAACTACTACTTGAAGTTGGAATTGGAAATTAGAAAATTAGAATCTTTACCAAAGTCAAGAGTCACAGCAGGTTAGCAGCACAGTCGGTCTCGGACCGCTCGTGCCTCGTCTGCTCGGTCAGTCGGCTAGGCCGCTAGCCGCTAGGGTTTCGTCGCACACACAGCAGAGTCGCAGCACAGTCGGTCGCTCGGTCAGAAGAAGAGAAGATGGTTGCTGCTCGCTGGTCCTGGTCCTGGTCGGCGTGGTCGCATACTCGCATCCGATGAAGAACAGAAGAAGAGTAGAAGGCTGAAGAGTGAAAAGGGGCCTCTTGTCTCATTTTGTTGGGGGCCCATATATATTTAGTTAAAAAATACAAAGTAAAAAAAAATTTGGGCTTTCATAGGTAAAATTTGTTGGGGGCCCAGGACCCCTACCACCTTAAGGTAGATCCGTCCCTGCCGGTTAAGACTCTCGATTCTTGTTATGCCTCTTACCGGGTAAGATTATTGGTTCTTATCATGCTCAATTGATAAAGCAAGTGATACCGGTAGATGATGACAGAATTTGACTATTAAGAACAAATCTCCTGAAATATTTCACAATATTAGTATAGATTGATTGGTTTGTTGCGGGCCCTTGAATCCTGGGTTGCAACTTTTTCCCAAAACACATAAAAATCATCAAAATTTAAGCCGAAAACTGAATTTTCTGACATTGGTGGGATTCCAACCCCGAGTTTGGTACAAAGTAAGCAACATTTACGAGCTTTTACCATTAGATGGTAAAGCTTCAATTCAAAAACTACATGGTGATACCCAACAAAATAATACAATGACACCTTTTGGAAACACATTTTCTTTCTTACGACAGAACCATAAAACGGTCGTCCGTATCACCATATGGGTTACGTATCCAACCCAACTGTCATTCAACCTAATCTACCGTGTTTGACGCGATCGAGTGATAAATCAAACGAGCTTTTACCATTCTGTTTCACACAAGATTTATGTTCTCGTTAAGCTCATTTTAAGACACCTGCATTATCTTCTAACAAATGTACCACCCCAGCCAAACTTCCCACCCGACAATGTCTTCCCGTAAATAGAACTTCTATATACGAACCAAGCAATTCCAATACAAAAGAGGCAACCATTGTACACAAGATATCTTTTACTTTTATACAGATGAATTCTATTCATTTAGCCACTGAAAAGCACAAAACCGAGCTCGAAAACCGAGTGTTACGGGTCACCGAGGGCCCGAAAGCTCCATTGCTTCGACTACAAGTGAAGATTCTTCGATATAATCTGCATACCTTTGTGGAAAACTTTCTAATGCTCGAAATCTTGGTGTTTCAATTGTTTGTGATGCCTCCCATCGTTCTACTAATCCTTCTCCTTCTAACATTCTCAATACTTCCGACATTTTTGGTCGATACAAAGGGTTGAATTGGGTGCACAAAAGCGCGACTTGAACCATTTCTTCTAACTCGACCCGATCAAAATTGTTGCTTAAAGCCTTATCAACCATTAGGTTCAGTTTTCCGTCTTGATGGAGCTTCTTTACCTGCACGATAAACCACGTACACCAAGTTGTTAAGATCAACAATCACGCACACACAAAATATATATATACACATATATATATATATATATGTGTGTGTGTGTGTGAGTGGTTCCGTAATTTGCTTATACTTGCATCGGTGTTATGATTCTTGTTATGTCAACAGTACTTACTTACAGGGGGTGCGCTTGGTATGCAAACAGAACGGAATAGGATTGGACAAAAATGTAACATCATAGGCTAACGATATCAGTTATTGTCCGCTTTGTCTATACATGGACTCACGGTTTTAAAACGCGTCTGGTAAAGAAAATATCCGGTCCTTACAGGGCAACCTTCATTTTCCTCCCCACATATGTTGGGAAGGGGAATAAAGGTTACTTTATCTGGGACTTTATACCTCCTCTGTTACACACGTTTTAAAAACCGAGTCTAGATGTGGACAAAACGGATAATATCTAGTACGGTTGGCCTAGGACGTTACAAAGGGTATCAGAGTCTGGAATTGGACTGGTGTGCCAACAAGGACACCTAGGCTCCCAAGGGGGTGGATTGTAATATCCCATATCGGTTGGGGAGGGGAACAAGTTTGCCTTATAACGGACCAGATACCTTCTCTACTAGACACATTTAAGACCACAAGTCCACAAAGCGGATAATATCTGGTACGGTTGGTTTGGGATGTTATAAAAAAATACTAGAGTCATATCTTGTCTAGCCCAGACACCCGCCATCACCAAATACTTGGTGTTTTCTATCATTTTTTTTTGCAAGAAAATACCATGTTTGAAAATTTGGTTGCTTTTTACGTAATGTACGAAAGAAGGGAATCGAGCGTACCCAATCAAGCATTACGCCTTTCTGGTTAGCCACCCTTCCGAAATCTAAAGCCTTTTGACCTGTAATTAGCTCAAGAAGCAAGATCCCGAAACCGAAAACATCGGTTTTATCGGATGATTGACCGGTCGACAAATACTCAGGAGCAATGTGACCCACGGTGCCACGGACCGCAGTGGTTACATGAGAATCACGGTGGTCCAACAGCTTAGCCAGCCCGAAATCACCAACAACTGCCTCAAAATCTTCATCCAAAAGAATATTGGCTGCTTTAACGTCACGATGAATTATCTTCGGGTCACTTTGCTCATGCAAATACAGTAAACCTCTCGCTGTTCCTAAAGCTATATTTTTCCTTCTCGACCAATCCAAAATCGGCCTACCATGGATACGATCTGGTAAACATACAATCAGATGCGCAGATTTAGTTCGTTGAACATAATATTCGACGTAAAATGGATGATGCAATTGCGAATCAACAAAATACGAAATGGAAATACAATGCTTCATAAGAGTACACAATTTTCTAGTAAAAGAGTGAAAAGTACGATTGCTTTAGGGGCTGTTTGGATGGTTTTCCATTAAGTCCTATATGATAAAGCTTTCCATGTGGATTAATCTGTTTGTATATATTGGGAAGGTTTTTGTTTCGGAGAGTTTATCCACAGATGGATGAAACATGTTTTTTAACAGGGAGGTGCAGGTTTGAAAAAACTTTGCTTTACGGCATAAAGCTCCCTCCTAGAAGCTTATTGAATAAGCCACTTTATATATCATTAAGGATCTGTTTGTTAGCAGCTTAATGAGACTCACAAATTATTTGGTCGGTTATACATGACTGTTCGATAGTGGCTTAATGATATAAAAAGGGCTTATTTAGTAAGCTTCTATCAGGAGCTTTATGCAGAAAGCAAGTTTTTTTCAAACATGTCTATTCCAATTAAAAAAAATGCTCATTCCATCTCTAAATAAAACCCACCCAAACAAAAACCTTCTTAATCTATACAGTCAGACTAATCCACACAGGCAACTTTATCCATACAAGATTTAGTGGAAACAACCAAACGGAAAACCAACTAAATAGGAAACCAACCAAATAGTCCCGCCACAACCAGACAGTCATGTATGCAAGTCTCATTAAGCTCATTAAGCTGCTAAGAAACAGGCCCTAATTTTTATGTTTTCTTCAAGAACTACAGGCAACATAAATCAAGTACGATGATTCAAAAAGTCGATTATTCTTTCCAAATTTAAGTTTGTCAAGGATCTAGCAACAAATACTGTACGAACCTTTTAATTTACAAGCAACGCTGCCATTTGGCATAAACGGATAGACTAGAATCCTCTCGTTTTCTGTTGAGCAGAATCCCCAAAGGCGTAGAAGATTTCGATGAACAGCCAAACTTATGGTTTCGACTTCCGTTTGAAACTGGATCTCCCCCCCGAAATTATTATCGGCTTTCAACCTTTTAACAGCCACGATCGTGCCATCGCTCAACGACCCTCTATAAACAATTCCAAATCCACCTTTACCTAAAATGTTCTTCACGTTGAAATGATCGGTGGCAGCCCGAAGTTCCTTAAACGTAAACCTCCTCAAATGGCCCAAACATACTTCGGGATCATATTGATCTGTTTATCTTAATCAAATTAATATGCAATCGAGAGAACAAATTCTAGGAATTAATTATCTGTTTATGGAAACAATCTCTCTACCCTTTCTGTTACGTATTTTGCATATTGTATGAATGTTTACGAGTTCATATTCACATAATAAGTTGATGAATGTATGTTGACTGACCGTTAACATCGAAGAAAATTTGTTGATTCTTACGATATCGCCACCAAATGAGCAACCCGATAACCAAAATTAGTAGCAAAACAGCACCAAAGCTTGTACCGAGAGCAATAGCGAGACGGCGACTCTTCTCTCCCGATGAAGATTCGCCTATTAAAGCAAACAACGTATCAAGAAACCACATTTGTGACGTAAAATAAGCATATAGCATCAGCCTGTTTGGTTGGTTTTCCATAAAGTCCTGTATGGATAAAGTTGTGTGTGTCGGATTAATCTGTCTGTATAGATTGGGAAGGTTTTGTTTGGAAGGGTTTTTTCATAAATGGGGGAGCGTGTTTTTTAATTAGGAAAAACTTGGCTTTCTGCATAAAGCTCCCCCTAAAAGCTTAATGAATAAGCTACTTTCCATATCATTAAACCATTACTACACAATCATGTATAGCTGATAGAATAAGTTGCAAGTCCCATTAAGCTCATTAAGCTGCTAAGAAACGACCTTAACGTATTTTTGAACTTATTGAAAAAGCCTTGTTTTATTAAGCATAAGTTCAATAAGTTCAAGTGGTTTTTTGCCACTTCCTTTTTCAAATTATGCCCCTTGTTCTTTTTCCAACTACTTTTACAATATGTTCTTTCAAGTCATTTTGTATTGACATCTTGACTTATCAGCAAGATTTAGGGGCATGTTTGTTAGTAGCTTAAGGAGCTTAATGGGACTCACAGCTTGTTCAGTTAACTATGCATGATTGTTTGGTGGTGGCTTAATGATATAGAAAGTGGGTTATTAGGTAAGCTTCTAGGGGGGAGCTTTATGCAGGAAACCGAGTTTTTTCAAACCTACCCTTCCCAATGAAAAGATGCTCCTTCGTCTATGAAAAAACTTTCCCAAACTAAAACCTTATAATCTATACAAACAGATTAATCCACACAGACAACTTTATCCATAAATGACTTTAATGAAAAACCAACCAAACATGACTAGTTTATCAACTAACTTATAAGCCAACAGCTAGTTTTTCAGCTTAAAATAGAAGGAGGGTGTTTATGGGATAGACACCTGTGATACCATCCGGTGGGAAAGATAGAGGTTCGGGAAAAACAACCGAACAACCATTTTCGGAATTATGCTCACATAGTAACGGATTGCCTACAATTCTGAAATCAAAAAAATAGAAGCTAAGATCATGATCGAGATAAAAGTAAACGAAGGTCGATTAAAAGTAAACTCACTTGAACGTTCTGGCTGATATTTTAGGCAACGAACCGCTAAGATTGTTATATGATAGGTCTCTACACAAGCAAGTGAAGCGTAAGATAAAGAAAATCGAAACCATAATAACCGAAAATGTAATAAACAAACCGTAGGGACCATATCCGATAACGTCTTTAATATGGGCAAATGTAATTTATGGCCGTTTAGTTTGTGGGATTTGGTGGAATTTGGAATTAGGTTTCATTCCAATTCCGCGTTTTGTTTAAAAGGAAGCCCGGAATTGAATTCCGGAGATTTCAATGAAATCCCCGAGGTAGTTGGTATTTAGCGGGATTTGAATGTACTAAAATATGTTAAAAACACTCGTTTTCTAATAATCGATTAATAAAAAGATAATTTAATTATTTCATAAATTTTAATAATTTATTTTTATAAATTATTTATAAAGAAATTCATTCCAAATCTTACAAACAAACGCAAACACATCAAGAATTCTAATCCTTTCACCAAAACCAACTCCTACCAATAAAATTAAACGAAATCTTCAAAATCGAGAAACTGTTGAAATTAAATTAAACTTTTTTGGAAATTTTAACTTTCGTCTTAAAAACTTCGGAGAAATTACGGAAAAACGGATGGAAATACTCTGCAAATCTTCGTAACTTTTCATACGAAAATTTGCAATCCAAAATATAAAAGAAAAGAGCATGGAATTAACATACACAAGAGTAAGGCCTCCGACTTGCGACAACGATTCAGGAACCGGTCCCGTAAGGCTATTGTTGTTTAGTCGCCTGGCTTGACCATAAACACAACCCGAAATCAGAAATTTTCCGTAACATATCATCTGTTACGATAAAAATGAAACAAGCACACAAACTTACAATAGATTCAAGTTCTTGAGATCTCCCAAAGAAGCAGGCAGCTCACCGCTGAACTTATTCCCCGAAAGATCAAGCGATTGAAGGCTCCATAACTTCCCAATTGCACCCGTGATTGGGCCAGAAATCGCGTTATTCTGTAGTGTACTAAATAAAGCATGACAAATGGTCGATTTTTTCAGCTCATAAATATCTCCATAGCACAAGAAAATAAGCAAAAATCTGTGCGGTCCCATTTGGTTTGACAGAATGATTTCGAGGGATTTGGAAGGATTTGGAATGGAATCGAATTTTTTATTTTTTATAAATAATTTATGAAAAAAACAATTAAATTACCTTTTCGTTAATTGATTATTACAAAACAAATGTTTTTAACATATTTTAAAACATTTTTACAAACAAATCTTGTGAAATCCGCAAAATCTCCCATGGGATTTCATTACCTGGATTTTCGTGGGATTTCAAATTTCACTGAAATCCCACGATTTCAAATCCAGGGATTATCTCAAACCAAACAAAGAGACAAGACCGCGTTAGAATTCAATTCCAAATACCGTAAACCAAACGGGACCTTAGAAAATTTGATGAAATATGGGGAAGTTGCCTACATAGATTGCAAGTTACTAAGATTTCCGATTGAAGCCGATAACGTCCCGGATAAATTCTGACCAGGCAGCCCTCTGTTGATTCGTAAAAAGAAGATAAACCCGTCAAAATTCAAGTATACAACGCCGAAGAAACCATTCTGCGGCAAAATGCAAACAAGTTGCAGGAAAAAAATCGATAAAATGCAACGAAGTTTGCTTCAACTCCTAGTAACTTTGGTCTCGAAATTTCCTATTTTTTACCCATGCTGTCCGTTACTGGTAACATGCTCATCTTGTACTATTTTTGTAACATTCCGGACCAACCGTATCAGATATTATCTGTTATGTCCACACACCTTGACTAACGTGGAATCTTACAATAATATTTAATAGGTAAATCTTTGGTAAACCTTTTTCGTAAACCGGCATACAAAACCTTTTTCGTAAGCGGGTACCAGCGATTCCACGTTATAAATGTTACAAGATCAGCAAGCTACCGATAAAAATTAGCCACAATGGGAAATTTCAGAACTTCATCAAGGAAAAAATAAAAACGAAACTTTGTCGTATTTTTAACACATTTTCGGCCAAAAAAACAACTCACAGAGCAGAAACAGATCCATCAGAGTTGCAGGTAACCATTCGCCAACTACAAGGATCAACAGATGTGAAATCCCACGAGTCAAGAACATTGTGTGGATCCTTTACATCCGATTTAATAGCCATTAGAGCCACAACTGCATCAATCATAAACATCATGATTTTGGCCCACAACTTCCATTAAAATCAAACATGAAGCTTTTCTCCATTAATTGTCAAAAACCCCACTAAAACTTGCTTGAAAGTGAGCAGAAATGAAGATGAAACATCAGCCAGAAGAATGGGTTTATAGCAGAAAGCCAAAAATGGCAAAGTGAAGATACAAAAAGAGGAAACTAACCTTCGTAATTGACACCAGAAGGAGAAAGAGTTGCAGAAGAACCATTCACCCATGTCAAAACCACGAACCCGAATATCAGAAATATATGTTCTCTCTTCTCCATTATGAAAAGCTTTCGAGTTTTGCTCAAAGGCATGAATACAAGATATTTGTGGAGTAAAAGAATCTTGCCACCATTTTTTTCTCTTGTATAAACTCTAGTTGTCTTATTGAAATCTCAAAAGACAGAAAGAAACGGAATTAGAATCCTGTAAAGCAAAAGTTCAGAATGCTCTCCACCTGTTCGACGAAATTCCCCAAAAAAAATTACACAGTTACGTATCAAAGATTCAAACCCTTTTCGTGAAATGAAGAGATCTGGTCGATTTTCAGTGAGATTTGTTGTTGGTTGTATAACGTTGCATTTTCTTTAAGGGTCGTTATCCTATCTGGTACAATCAACATCATCGTCTCTCTAACTCTAAGTGAGAGTCTTTAATGGCGGATACAGGAAAGATACAAAAGGAATTTGATTAAATTAAGTGGGAAAAAGGATCAAATAATTATTTGTATTTTGTTAAAGAGAAATTCCTCAAAATCTCCATTTTTATCGAACAAATTTCTCTCTTTTAACTCTTTCTCTTTCAATTTTTTTTAAAACTCACTGCCTCTTCAACTCTAAAACCTCTTTTTATCTGTATAATATTTATATACGACAAATATAACAAATAAACTCACACACTTTTCTCATTTTCAGCGAAGTTTGAATTTCTGACTTCTAAAAAACAAAACAAAGACTATGAAACCGCTAGGCAAAAAACCCTTTAAAAAACATCAAAGTGTAAAAATCCTTGAACATAGTATAAAAATACATGAAGTAAAATCTATAAATTAGTCAGAAAGCCACTTGCAGAGACCTTTATCAAATTTACAGATTTGGTTCCTATATTTCGGACCATGTTTATAGACTTTTTTTTACACTTCGACTCCTTAAGGAGTTGTTACTTGCAAAGGTAATGACACTTTTAACCTTTTAAAAAATGACGAAATATATATATTATTTACAAAGAAATTAGGGTGCTGAATGGTTAAGGAAGACCGTGGATACAAAATTATTCAGGAGGTTTTAGAACTATTAAAAATCAGATTTTTTTTACCAAATAAGATACATCTCTTAATTATTCAAATATTATCTCTTAATAAAATTATTAAAATATAAACAAACAACTCTGATTTTTTTATAAGAATCAATAATTTTTTTGCTTTTGATTCAGTGATTGGAGTGAAGGTGTGGGAGACCTGATGAGAGAGAGAACAAAGCGAAAGGTAAAATGTTTGCAGATCACGTGCTTGGCTTGTCGTCGCCTTTGTTTGGCTTTTGCCTATTTTCCAAACGAAATCTTTTTTTAAATTTTGGAGCGACAAAATATTCGTATTTTTAAATAAATACTTTTATTATATTTTCGAAAATATCTCATAATTAAAATTTATTAAATTTAACATATGTTTATTAAATATTTATCAGATAAATGTTTACAGATATTATTTATCTTATCAATTGAACATAACAAGGGTAAAAAATCTTATCTAATAAGAGACATGATAATAACCAAAAGTCTTACCTGATAAATGTTAACTAAGTTTAACACGTTTACTAATAATCCATTTGATAGCTGATGATGTTATATGATAGATAAGTGAAAGTGATTTCTCTTATCCATAAGCACTTATCTGATAAGTATTTGATCAACGATCTCTAAATTTATAATAAATATTGAATATATCATAACAGTTGAAGATGCGCTGTTTTTAATATCCTTATACCTAACTTTTATTTTAATTTATTTATAAAAAATTATCATGTAAAGTTGATAGGTAAAAAAAACACACATCATGATTCATGATCACCACAAATATAAAAATGAAAAATAAAAGCATATCCTTGACATCATCATGTATCTTTTTTTGCAGTTGTTCACTTGCTTCCACCTACATGTTCTAACAAATCTTTCACAATAATTTTTAATATATGTTTATAAATTATATATAAAGAGAGAAAAAGACTTGGAATCACGTGAGACGAACTTGTTTTCGTAAGACCCATGAAACTATTTTTTCCACTCGAAACTTCACTGCAAAATGTTGTGAAAGTAACCTTTGTAGTGTTTTTACTGCGGAAGTTTGGTCTTTTTTGACCTTTACAGTGTTTTCTATGAAGTTTCACGTGTAAAAAAGTAGTCTCATGAAAACAGATTAATCTCAGGTGAATTTAATATATACATGTATATATATACATGTATATATATACATGTATATATATGTATATATGTGGGTGTTTTTCTTGGGGATGGGGAAGGGGGAGGGAGGAGGCAGAACAAGTGGGCATAGGTAAGGTAATAAGGTAGCCTGTTTTCTCTTCTATTTCTGTAAAATCAATAGGATATTAGGATGATAACAAAATAGTAAATTATGATACTCACGATAATACTCTTTAAATTTCGTTTTATTACGTAAATTATATATATATATATAAGGATTTAAATAAAAATACTTTTATTTTACGATAACACTATTTTACCATAGACAATCACATGTGATGCTATTATTTCATCATATATATGATACACATATGATATTAAATCAGAGACGCGGATGATTTTCAATGCGATCATGGTTGCGGGCTAAGTCGACTTTACACCACTAAGCCCCCTCACAATTATTATCATGTGTGATAAGGGTGTTGTTTATATGATACTATAATTTATCAAAACCATCACATATAATGCTAAATCATAGACGCAGACAACATTTGGCACGGCTTAAGTTGTAGTCTCGTAGAACACGTCGTTCTCGCGCGTATTATCACATGTGATAAGGGTGTTCTCGCATTCTCGTAAAATGAAGATGTTCTCGTTTGAATTTCCATCCATATGTGTGTGTGTGTGTGTGTTTTATTTGTTTTGATCCTTGACTAAACGACCGTCTAACAGGAGACGCTAACTCAGTCAATGTGCATAGGGTATTTTGGTCAATCCATATTTTTTCTTTCAAAACAAATAACTAAATTGTACATAAATTGGTTTCATTAGTTTTTCAAACTTAAGTTTTGTTAACTAAGAGATCATTTACCAAACGCTTACTCTAGTAAGTAAACACCAAGTCGTTTTACCTTACCAGATGAATATGGTAAGGATCAAGAATTTTACCCGGTAAGAACGAGACAAGGACCAAGAGTCTTACCTGGTAAGTGAATGCGACGATTCTTACCACGATAACCGCTTACCGGGTAAAATATTACATACAATACCGTTTCGGTGGACTAAAATCTTATCTGATAAGTAAATGATAGTGTTAAATTTACCGGGAAAACGCTTACCGGATAAGTATTAGGTAAACGATCCCTATCAAAATACGCCCTTGTACAATTTGGTTTTTCTTTTTAGAGAAAAAAAACATGGATTGACAAAAATGCCCTCACGTGTTATGCACATGAGTTGAGTTTAACGTCTCTTATTGGACGACCATTTCGTCAACGGGTGAAAAAAAGTGCATACTACCAGATATTTATATAACGAATGAAGTTTAAGAATCATTTCCGTAAGAACCCACATATTTGAAGGATCAAATCCACAATTATTTACTCTAATAAAAACATATTATTATTTATAAAATAAAATAAAAAAGAATAATATTGTGGAGTGCTAAAATGCGCATGAGAGAGAGAGAGAGAGAGAGAGAGAGAGAGAGAGAGAATTGTCTTGTCCTGTGAACTCTTTCTCTGTGTGAATTCCCTCGTTTGGGGCTATATTCTGTTGTCGGGCACCGTGAACAACTTGTACGCACAGTGTCGTATGTATAATCCGTCAATAATATTCCAAAATGTTTTTTTTTTAAATATATATGGTTTTTTTTCTTCTAAAAAATAAAAAATCCTAATTTATTGAAACAACAAATTACATGAAAAAGTAAGGTATTTTAACTTGATTTTTATTTTAACATACTTTCAAAACTTCAATTTTAATACATATGATGTAAAATTTTAAACATTTAAGTACTCGGATAACCGGTTGAAGTATTAACCGATTATCATGCTGATGTGACGAGTGATGTGGTATCCAACTCGGTATTATTTGCTAACGTGGTTAGTGACATGAATCTTTTTAATCTAAAACTAGTCTTCAACCGGTTACTTCGGGTACTTAAATGTTTAAAACTTTACATCTTAGGTACCAAAATGAAAGTTTTCAAAGTACGTTATCCAAAATAAAAATCAAGTTAAAGTACGCTATTTTTTCATTCAATTTGTCCTTATTAAAATTGAGTACTGTTTTTAATAAGTATTATAATGAATATTTAAATACCTTACTACTATTTAGATACCATTTATTTATATATTAACACAAATATTGTATATATTTTACATTGAAGTTACTTAATATTATTAAAAATAATTGATAAATAATATCGTTTAGATAAAAAAATTCGCACCCATGACCAACGTGGAAAACTTTCATTACAAGATCCTTTTATCACTTTTAACCGTAAACCAACCAGAGAATTGATTTAGTGTTTTTATCGGTGTCGATTTATTGAAATTATTTAAAGGATTAATTCAAGAGTGGATTTTTACCATAACTCTCATTCTCATTGAAATCTAACTATGGACAAACTATTATATCTATGTGGACATTCTTTTGAAAACTCATTAAATTATGATAATCTTGAGAACTTGTATATCATGTGTTATTTCATATGTTTTTTTTTTATCTAAGATTATGATTTATTATTTAACATATATTTGTTTCACATGTACACAGTTCACAGTGTGAACTTTTTGACGTGTTTGTGAAATAAAAAATACACGTAAAAAAAGTTGCACGTTGTGAACTGCACATATAAAAATGTAAATTCCCATATCTTTATTGTTAATGTAATGTAGGTCACGTATGATATATGACAACTAATCCAAAATTTTAAGGATATTGTCACCTGCACTATTATTTATTTCAAAAAAAAATTAAATATGCATTAAAAAATGTAAAAAGTAAGTTTTATGGGTCGTTTATCAAATGTTTGTCGGTAAGAAAACAACAATCTCATTTACTTTATCGCGTAACATCAGTTGTCACCAAAATAGATTGTTGGTAAGCTTATTAAGCCTAGTAATGCTTACCAAGTAAGCGCCGTTTTCTGCACTTACTGAATAAGACTTTCGATCTTTGTCGTATCGCTTACCGAATAAGATTCTTTACTTTGTCATGTCTGATTAGTAATATTAATGTGTGCTTATTTAATAAGCATTTAGTAAACGCATCTTTAATGTCAATGTACGAGAATTGTGTTGACTGAATTATTTATTTCATAATGCAGTGGCAGGT